GGGGGTGTTGGCAGGCACTTACCTGCTTTGCACTCTGCAGTTCAGGCAGCAGAGCACGTGTCTTGCAGCAAATCAAGTTATCAACCAGCACATTTAACCAGCAGACATGCAGAGTTGCAAACAGTGCAAAGCAGGCACAAGACTAAAGAAACAGAGAATTAAAAAAAAAAAAAAAAGTATGAACTTTGAACTTTGATTCAGTAATTTAAGTTGATAACTTCATATATAACTTAAAAGTTCGAGCTTTGCAGTTCAATTCAGAACCTCAGAGTCTTCAGACTGGAAGCACTGTCAGTGCTTTCTCTCTCTCTCTCTCTCTCCCTAACGGGCAGGACCGGCAGGTGCCACGTCGAAACGGCCGCTTTGAAATTGCTCGGGCCTGTGCGAAACCCGGCACCTAAAAACCTGCAGTGTCTTGCGTCTGGACCTCTAGGCCATGTCCGGTGGGGTGAAAGGACACTTAAAAATCACCCCGTTATTTTTCGAGGGACGGCTAGGACCCTACAAACGTCCTGGGACGCCCCTTTTTTTTTTTTTCTGATTTTTGCCCCAGGGCCCTCAATCCAGACATGGGGACTGGACACCAGACACTGGACACCAGACACCGGACACAGGACTGTCTGGAACCCGGTCCGGACGTCGGGGCGGTTACAATGGTACCAACAAGACTATTTTTTTACCAATTTATTTTGGCTTCGGAGACTGTAGTGAAGAGAAGGATGGTGTGTTTGAGAGCTTCAAAAACTTGATCTTGGAGCTAAATAAAAAGGGAAGTGTCTTCTGCAAAAGATTGTCCTTTTGCATGCTGACTTGGAGGAACGCGTAATCCTATGATGCCAGAATCAGGGTGAATCATGCAATGTAGTGCCTCGATGTATAATATGTATAGTCTGTATAGATAGGGGGCTAGAGAGCACCCCTGTCGTACCGACCTAGACAATGTAATTGGTTCAGAGAGTTTCTCATTAATATAGAGTATTATAGACGAGTGGTGGCACCTTGAAAAACGGGCGCGCACACAGGCGATGAACTTTGGCCCAAAGTTAAGTCGGTGGAGTAGCAAAAATCGGTGGAGTAGCAAAAAAAGGAAATCCCAATTAACCCGGTCATAGGCTTTTTAGAAATCAAGAAGCAGAACTCCTACGAGGTCCTCTGTCCTATTGATGTACTCCATACCTTGAGCTACTGCCATAACTGTGTCAACTACCTGTCGGCCCTGCAGGACACCTGTCTGATCGGCGTGAATAAGGTTGGGCAACGCGGTTGGCTCTTGAAACGACTTTATATAAAACAGTTGCAAGGGTGATTGGGCGTTTGTTTATCTGGGTTTTCGCCCCTTTTTTGTGAATGAGAGTGAGGATCCCTTGTACCTGTATTTGTGGCATAGGCTGTCCATTGGCTACTGCATTCAGTACTTTGACTGCGTCCGGGATAAACGAGGGAGAGAGCTTTTTTTTTTTTGGTTCATACCCTCCCGGCAAGGTTATCATTATTATACATCTAATCGTTGTGCATTGCTGTTGTTTCTGCGTTCGTTTTTACGTC